CCCCTTAACATTAGGGGCCATCTTCACATCAAGAGCCCCCCTTCTCATTACCACCCCCCCTTCACATTAGGGGCCCTCTCCACATCACAAGGCCCCCTTCACACGAGGAGCCTCCTCCTTTTACATCAAAGCCAACAGTGGCATAAATATAGCCATAGCAGCCCAGGCGACTGCTATAGGGCCGGGTGGTGGAGGGGGGCCCCATTAGGTTGTTGAGGCAAATTAAACATAGATCATGTGACGATAATACAGTACGGTATCATTAAGGGTTGGAGTGGTTGCAGTTGGCAACAACTCTAATCCCCCTGGAATGTTCCTAGGGTACTTTCTCTTAGGATTAATTTTCAGTTAAAAATACACGCAGTCCCTGGGTTACGAACAAGATAGGGACTGTCGGGTTGTTCTTAAGTTGAATTTGTATGTTAGTTGGAACAGGAACATTTTTTAAGTGCAACTCCAGGCAAAAAAATTTTTTTAGTTTTGGATACCATAGAGAAGGGTTAACCCCCTGTAACGTTTGTTTTGCTGTGTGTGTCCCTGTTCAGAAGATTTCACCTCACTTTCTGTCCCTGTGACAATTGGATTTTGAACATTTTGGGTTGTCGTGGAAACAGGGGCGTAACTAGAAATCACAGGGCCCCATAGCAAAATTTTGTATGGGGCCCCGTGATTGCTAGTTATGCCACTTGCAGAGCCCACCATATACTCTCTATGGTGGGCTCTGCAAGGTCTCAGTTGGGCTGCACGCCTCTTACCTGTCAGCGTTGTCCACCTCCATGGTCGCCGCCGCCGGGCCCCTGCCTCCTCTTCCGTCCCCGGGCTCCGCCCCCTTCTATCGACTGGGCTCGCCTCCTCTTACATAACCGGCCCCACCTGCTCTTAGATAGTTGGCCAGTGATGTGAGAGGAGGCGGGGCTGCTGTTAGGCGGGCCCCGCCTCCTTCTTTACTGAAAACGCTGGTGTAACCGGCCTCTGTCACTGACACAGCTCCGCAGCGGCTGTGAGGGGGAACGTTCTCCTTCACAGTTGCTGCTGAGCTATGTCAGTGACAGAATAAGACAAATGCCGCACGGGCCAGTGTGTGCAAGCGCACACTGCCCGCTCAGCATTGCAGTCATCGGAAGCCCTCCCCTCTGCTGGTCGGGCTTGCGATGATCTCAAGTACGATCTGCCTGTCCAAGCTGGGCAGATCATACGTTTTTTTAATTACCTTACAACCATGGCAAGACAAAAGTCGTGCCATGGTTGTAAAGTGTATGGCCAGCTGTACGGGAGTGAATTTCCCTTCCTATGGGGTAGATTTCCTCTCACTTCCCGTTGTCTCAAGGACAGGAAGTGAGATTGCATCTTCCTAATGAGGATAGAGACAGCCAGGCCCGGCGCTACCGCAAGGCAAGTCAGCCGGCCGCCTGAGGGCGCAGCAGGGTGAGGGCGGAAAAAACAGGGCATTTTGAACACGTACTGTACTACGAACCAGACCCAAAAAGGCGCTACCTCCTCGTGGGCATGAGCGCGGTAGCATCACAACTACTGAAATGCTGCGCGGTACACTTTGGCTGCAGCCTGGGACCCCCTGCTGTACAGTAATAGCCTCCGTTTGTACGTAGGGGCCGTATGTAGGTTTGATTGTAAGATGTAAGATGTTTGTAACTCGGGTACTGCCTGTATGCTAAGAACTTTCGATCCTAAGAGAAAATAACGTAACAACATTCGTTCAACAGCATTTATTTTCCAGGCACGAATTCACATTAATAAAAGCATTCGAATTTGTACCATTCACCCAACAGCAACATTCACATGGAGCCAAAGAACAAAAGAACATTTGAGTTCAGCTTTAACCTCTGAAATGACTTCATATTCTCACTTGGCCCGGAGCAACAATTAATTATAAAATCAATTTCTAAGTATATAAACATAAAATAAACAGAATTCAAGGAACGAGGGAATTAATTGCCGGTGTTAATGGTTCATGTCTGTGCGCGGGCAGACCGCGGAGGGACTGAGCTCCTTTTGTTCACAGAATATTTTAATCATTAAGCGAGCCAGGTTGGCTCTGCTAAAATTAGCCGTGTATACAACCCTGTTGTGAAAGAGACCTTTTATTAGTGGCCTGGCTTTCTAGTGGCGGCCATATTGAGGGCAGACATTAAAGAGGAACTCCAGGATTCTTAAAAGCTAACCCTTGCAGTTGGGCTACCTCCGCACTGCAAGGGTTAACTGCTCATTTTGGTTACTTACCCGATCCTCGGTCCCACATGGCTGCTAAACCCCCCTTTTCCCTTCCCAGGACCTGATGATGTCAGTGGTCTAAGGACCACTGACATCATCAGGTCTATTCTCCTGCATTAGAAGTCAGAACGTTGTGGGACATACCAAAGCCAGAGTGGGGGGGGGTGAGCAGTCACTGCCCCAGGATCGAGGGTCAGGTGAGTATATCTTCTTTTTTTCCATTGCCTTGACCGAAAGGAGCAGTTAACCCTTGCAGTGTTGGGGTA